GAATTCACGTACAGTTCACTGTGCCTGTGGCCGCCATGCTGTGGGGGCACACGATATACATCGTCGTTTGCACGCAGTCCAACCACGAGGACGTTGAGTTAGCAGAAAGTCTGAACTAGACGGCCGTAAAGTAACGCCTAAATCATAGCCGAAAATAAGTTTTACAGTCAAAGTGAGATCTTTGTTATTCCACTAAAATGCTAAGTCTATTTTCTGGTATTTTTAGAATCCAAAATAAATGAGAAGCAAGGGTTACATGCTATGGGCATTCTTGTTGTAATGACTGAGATTACGCGTGTTCGCATCCCATCCTAGTGAAGGGCACTGCGTGACAGTCAAACAGAACAACGGTCTCGAACCAGCAACGGATAGGAATCGATGAAAGAACACTGGTGTCTTACTTTGGGTTGCTGAGGAAAAAGTCAATGAGTTTTTCCTTGCCTTGGCTGTGATTGAAAAAGACGAAGAGGGACCAGTGGAGAAGCCAAGTTCTTTGTTGGAGTTGTGTAAGATAGGTTTGAGCAGACGGGTGGAGCTTTGGAGAAAAAGAAGGAATCGTGTGTATTTATTTACCTCAAAGGCACGAAGGTAAGTTTTTACGGTGATAACGAGTGAATACCAACAAAAGATGAGGCGGTAAAATCACTGACATTAAACTTTCATATTGTGTAGAAGAGAGGTGCAAATACAACAATAGCACGCAGATGTCATAATGAAGCCGTTGGCAAATTTTAGCAAGCCAACTGCCTTGTTCCTATTCTAGGTAGATAGCATGTATTTTTCGGGCTAATAGGTCCACATAAAACATCCACAGGGAAAGCATATCCAGAGATAGACGGGCGCACCGAAAGTAATCATAGGACATGCGAGGTCCCATGACTTGCGCCTAAGGCTAAGGACTAAAAACTGGGCTAGGACGGAAAAATCACAGCTTCTGTCAAGAGCGCGAACTGTGTTTTGTGTGACATTGTAGTTGGTCTAAGTCCAATGTAAGGCTAAATGGCACTGACATATTGCTATTATTAGCAAGTGGCGAGTGGCGCCGCTAATTCCCTTTCCGGTGTTATCAACCCTAAAGATGAAATAGAGTCTAGAGAGGATTGAGCTTAAAATCCGTAGTGGGAGTGGTCGTATCAGAATTGTGCGCCATCGGTAGTTTATGAAAAATAAAGGCGACACGTCCAAGCAAAGGTATGTGGGGTCCACGTGTGCCTCCACGAAGGCACTGGCGTAGGCTACCGTGAAGTAACAAAGATTCGATGGTTGAAATAGCGTAAAACGCATTATTGAAAAAAAATTTATATTCTCAATATACTTCTTACCCTATCATCACTCTGGCAATCAATCGCATCTTTCAGTTTTTCCAGGTCATCCAAGGCTTCATCCCAACTCTGCACAAGAATTTCCGAAGCTAATCGACCCCAACAAGCGTGGAGGTGGCGACTGTCGCTTGGGCTAACTAGTTGTCGAATGATACGAAGATAGTCAGACGCGATATTGTAGAGACCACTGTCGTAGAAGACCTGTATGTTGTGCAGAAAAAAAGAGGGCATTTAGTGTGTCCTAGAAAATGTATACAAGTACTTGAGACTATATATCGCTAAAGCGTAAGCACTCTAGCTATCTGAGCTGCGAGGCCCGATAGAGAGCCATGCATTAAATCACTTTTGGGTCAATTTACCGACTCAGCCTATTGCAGCGTATGGTATCCACGCATTCTGATCAAGTAAGCTGACTGCTCAAGAATGATTTCTTAAACGACTAATCTAGAATCCACCAGATGTCTACCAGACCCTATTTATACGTTTTGGGCAGACTTAAATAATTTTCGCACTGTTAATTCAGCCTATTAGTTATCTGGTGGATTCTGGAAATCCTGGTAGATACTCCAGTTTTGAAATCGCTGTTTTTTATATTCCCCTCAGTGTTCGTCCGAGCTGCGTTCTCTCGCTAAGTCTATTCCACTACGTGGTAGACTGCGTCCATCATCATGCGTTGAGGGACCACGCCGATGTTAGAGGTTGTGGATAGCATATTATGGGTCTGGACTAAGCTAAGAAATGCTTATCAAAAGTGGAGCATGTTTATACATAATAAACCGTCAGTAGTCTGATGGTGAATAATGAACTTGCGCAAAACATGTGTGTTACACCTTGTTTGCATAGTACATGTTTAACTAAGTTCATTAGGTGTACAGCGTGAAGCGGTAACAATATAAACGTAAAGATGGTCCGATTTAAGTTATTGATGAGTGAAATACTGCAAGCCCATAATATATACCACCTAGTCGGACGACGCCCCTTCATGAACCCGAGACGTATCGAAAGAGAGCGGAGAACCATAACTGTTGGTCCCACTGAGTCTACACATATTAAACTGACAAAACCGAAAAACAGGCGTCTGAAGCAA